CGCATTGACTTAAAAGATGTCATGAAATAAAACTCCCAAATTATGAGAATAGATAAAGTCCAACGGAAAAATTAAGGCTCTACATTGAATAAGCCCAACAAAGCTTAGCACAAAACAACAAAGAAAATCATGATCACCGAAGTCTAGAGTTCGCCATTAAACACTAGAGTTCGATTAAATCAAGGTGGATAGTTCCTAAGCCCCAATTCATCACATCAATAATCAATTAATATATAATAATCTCAAAATTATTCAAGTACTCATACCTGAGCTGGCGCGGCACGACGAGAGCGAGTGGTCATATCACAAAGTCAAAGCACGTAATCACATAATCAATACTTAGACCAGTCTACAGAAACGCAGACTGGCTCTGATACCAAACTGTAACGCCCCACTTTTATTTACCGGAAATCAGAATAAATTTTTCGAAATTTATTTTCAAAAACAACATTTGAGGCGCTACTCTTCTTCAAAACAATAATCTATACTCATCAATTTCTCAATACTCGGCAATTATCAAAACTCATAATCAATAATATAACCTCAATAATGCAATAATAATCCAATAATGGTCTAGGGAATTAAACCCTATCAACAATCCAGTATTCCAATGCTAGAAAACGATAATCATTAATAATGCAATAATATCCAAACTCAGTTCAAGCGGAAGCATTTATTCAAATTAAAGACCACCACTCGCATCCCTTCCGCCGTGCCGCTCTATCTAACCTGCATCCATGAAGAGCAGGTGGGGATGAGCACAAGAGAAAAAGTAGTGCTCACCACTGTGCAATAAATGTTAATCTCAATAATAATCAGTAATCAATAATCGAAAGGTATGGTCTCAGCATGTATACTTAAATAATTAGTTATCCCAACCTCCTATCCCAAGTTCGTTCTCATGTGCACACCTATATCAATAGACTACTGCCGACTATATATTGAAAGCCACGGCCCTCGGCCTTCTGGTCTTACAACGAGTGTCCAGCCAGTAGGAGTCTCCCCCGAAGGCCCGGCCTCGCCATCGGACTTACATCAGGGTACATATCGCTGACCGAGCACGGCCCTGGTCTCAAGCGACGTGTCCTTTGCAAGGACGTAAAGAGGAGATTACCCCATCGGAGTCGTTCTATAGTTACGGGGATAACCATTCGATGGCCGATACAGCTCACATCGAAGGCTACATGATTCACATGCATACTTTGATCATACCACAATTAAAACAGTAATAACATTTAAGGCATAGTAATTTTTCAAATAAAACCCACCTGGTATCGGTTGATAAAGCAATTAGTCAGAAGGTCTTAGGTGGTCGAGAAACTGCTCTTCAGACACCTACATAAGTCAAGACAGTCCCATAAGCAACTATCTCGACTCTTGCACAGATAACGAGAATTATGCGTAGTTGAATAACATCGACTAAGGAACTCGTGGAAGTTGTGGAGTTGGAATATTAGGACGACTCCTAGACTCGACCAATTAATTACCAAATCAATTAATAGATCACATAAAGGCAAGCAATAAATGTTCGACACAAAACGGGTCAAAACGGTTAAAAAGGCTAGTTCGAATTTTATAAGAATAGGGATAAGGGGAGTTGGACTTGGTTATTTCAATTCAAATTTTTACTGAGTGTTGAGGGCTGAAAAATACATATTTTCACCAAAGGAAAACTATTTAACATGCTTCTAACTATTTTAAATATTTTACTCAAAATCTGACCGGAAATCAAATTAAATCATTTAAAATAGATACAGCTCGAATTTAAATCTCAAATTTTTACAGCAGCAAGATAATCTGGAGAAAAACAACACATTCAAAAATTAGAAAAATCGGACAGGAACTCGATTTTATATAAATTTATTACGAAACAGCCCAGAATTAGTTTTCGAGTTTTGACAAGGCTACAGGCCATATAAAATTCTCAAATTTTAACCACAAGTACTAAAATTCCAACATTACAACATATCCAAAAATCAGAATTTTTGGGTAAACACACGATTTATAGTTATTTTAACAAAAACCAGCTGCAGCACGTTTTTCAGAAATTCATAACTAATTCAATACACATCGAAACGACGCGAGGCCAAAGGCGTTGCGTCAAGGACAATCCTAAGTCCAATAATCCACAGCACTTCAACATAAAATACTACTCGAAACTCAGTTCGATAATTTTCAAAGTGACGGCAATCACTTTGTTACCCAATATTAACAATATATCCTAATTACACACGAAAGCATTCCGAACGCACGTAATTAATTCAAAAAAACACACGGTCAGCAATAACAATATATATTCGAGCACTTAAACACATAATCAAATGATAGACGAGTGGGGTTCGAGTGCAAGTACCGTTCTCGGGGAATAATCGAAAACCAACGGAAGGAAAGGGATGAACGGTACAATTAGTACGTTCGACGGCTTTGCTTCGTCTCACGCGGAGGAGTAGCAGCAGCTAACGGGGCTCGACAGAGGCCTGCAACTGATCGTGGTAGAGGTGGCGACAATGGCGACTCGGCGTCCGGAACTAGTCGGCTTCGTTTAACGCTCGGACGGAATCCGACGGAACTCAACGATCACGATAGGCTCTTCGACGGAACTCGACGGGTCCCGCAAGCTGAGATTGGACGTTGATGGAGGAGATTGTTGAAGGCCGCTGCTGGTGTCGCGGTTGCTGCTCCGGTGCTGCTAGCCACGATGATGGCGATGGGAGTGATGATGGTGACCTGATGATGGTGATGGCGGGCGAGGAAGAGAGTAGAGCTTGATGAAGACGATCGATGATGCTGGTATGATGGTGATGAGGATGCGCAGAGAAAAGGGAGCAGAGGTCGATTTTGAAGGTTTGCTGCGGGTGAAAATTTTGGCTGCGCAAGAGCTGTATATATATATACATATATACATACATTTTCCATAAATAGTTTAGGTTTAATTTTCTTGTTTGGCAAGAAAAATCCACACGCACACACACGCACGTGAGGGAGGAAACCGGATCGGGTCAAAAAATTCGGTTCATCGGGTCGGAAGCTCGGTTCTAACGCGGCTTCAAGAATTGGATCGGTTCTCGGGCTCGGTTAAAATCGCACGATCAATAAATTAAAATAAAACCGGACCGATATATATATATACAACACATTTAATTATTTTAAAATAATAATAATAATACTAATAAAAATATGCATTTAGACAAATAATTACAATTTGACAATTAATAATATTTAGATAATTAATAATAGCAATATTACTAATAACAAATAAATAATAGCAATTTGGCATTTAATAATAATAATAATAATAATAATAATAATAATGGGATTTTAAAATCACATGCGAAGCAAAGGAGATTCTCTCGTTTGAGAGCGATTCTGCGATTCTCTCATTTGGGAGCGATTCACTTTTCCGATTGCAATTGTTCTATTCAGTGTTTTGTACTGATTATTTCATCCTTGTCTCCTCTGTTTTCTCTCGATTTCCTTCTGATTGTAAACCCTAAAAGTGTCGGAGCCAAGCTGTATTGGGCACGATGAAGACCTAGCAGACAGAATCAAGAGTTTCTCGCTTTCTGACAAAGAAAGCCTGATAACAGGGATTGAGCATGAGGATATTAAGCTGTGCGCTGACGAATGTGGTAGAAGCCTCTTTGGGAAAATCATTGGGGACCGAAAGGCAAGCTGGCTGGGAATCAAAAGAGCTATGAGCCACATATGGAGACTGCAACAGCAAATGGAAGTAAAAGAATTAGGTCACAATTTCTTCCAGTTTGTTTTTTCAAAGCAAAGACGATATGAGAAGGGTTGGTGATGGCATTAGCTGGAGTTTTGAGAACCAGCACCTAATCCTCAGAGAGTGGGAAAAAGGGCTCACAAGCAAACACCCGGCCTTCCAAGACATTAAAATGTGGGTCCAGGTACGGAATCTACCTATCAATTGCTTGAGCACAGAAGTTGGGCTTAAAATTGGGTCGATTTTCAATTCTGTCCAGAATGTGGTCATTGCAAGTTCAGGCAATCATGGTGGAAGAATCTTAAGGTTGTTGGTATCCTTAGACATAAATGAACCTCTCCCAAGGTGCACTAACATCCAATTGGAAGGTCAAATTATAAGTGTGGGTTTCAGATATGAAAAGCTGCACAACTTGTGTTATTACTGTGGGCTATTGGGGCATCTGGACAAAAACTGTAAAAAGAGAATTGAAGCTATCAAATCCAAATCAGTCAGTGAAGGACAATACGGGGACTGGCTCAAGGCTGTAGAAGGCCAAAACTGGATTGATGTGGGCCTTTCTAATTCAAGAGCTTATCCGTCATCAAGCAAATCCCAAGAACCCACCTCCCCTACCAGAACTTCTTTAAGTCTGATTGACAAAGGAAAGCAAATTGTTCATGTGCAAGTTCAACCCTCCAATAACTCTCAACCTGATATGGAGGCATCTAATTTTGTTCAAGAGGAAGCCTCTCCTTATATTCCTACTCCAGCTGACAATGTTCCTCCTCCCAAATCACAATCTCCAGTTGAGAAGACTCCTTCTTTGATAGAGGAAGCCTCTCTGCTCAAAATGATGGATATGGATAAGGCTTTTTCAGCTCCCTCTCTCCCTATCCAAATAAAAACTAATATCCTCAATACCCCTCACACTTCAAAACTCTCTCCCAGCAACAAACAGAAAACATGGAAAAGGGCTTTGAGCAGAGAAGGGAGGTTGCAAAGAAATGAGGATGGCCTAGAACTGATGATTCAAGACAGCCAGAGTAACAAAGGGACCAGGGATGATCACCCTAACCTCTCCATCTCAAACAAGGAGCAAGCACTGATAGTCTCATCATCTAACAAGAAATCCAAAGGTTCCCAAGGACAGGTGGAGGATGCCAGCCTAGAGTGGCACCCCAATTCTCAATGCTAGCTGCGGTGTGGAATTGTAGAGGGCTGGGTGGGCCCTCTACAATTTCCCAAATCCGAGAGTCCATCAAGGCTCACCACCCCTCTTTTTTCTTTATTTCAGAAACAAAAAAAACAAATGGCTTTGTTAAATCTGTTGCTAGAAAGTTGGGATTTGTAGATAGGTTTTCTTTTGTTGATCCTGCTGGGCTAAGTGGAGGTTTACTCCTTCTCAGGGACTCAAATGTTAATATTATCAATATTATGCAAAAACCCTTTTATATTGCTGTTGAATTTGTTATTGGCTCTGCCCCCCCTCAATGGGGAATTTTTGTATATATGAGCTCCTGCAAGCAGATTAGAGTTCATCAATGGGCAGAAATGGAAAGGGATAAGGCTTGCTGGGGTTCTAAATGGTTTGCCTTGGGAGACTGGAATGGCATCTGTGTCCATGAGGACAAATCTGGAGGCATCAAAAGGAGTTGCAGGAGTCTTCTGGCATTTAACTCCTTTATCAACAACATGGAAATGGAAGAACTGCCTATGCTGGGATACAGATTTACCTGGTGCAATCTCAGAGAAGCTGAAGGCCTGGTGGAGGAGAAACTAGACAGAGCCTTTGCTTCTAATGAATGGAGACTGGACTTTCCCAATGCCACTGTATCTACTAAAGTGAGAAGTGCATCAGATCACTCAATGCTTCTCCTCTGCAAGGGATTAGATCATCCAAAGCATCCATCAAGATTCCACTTTGACAAGAGATGGCTTTCCAAAGAGGGCATTTCAGACATTGTCTCCACAGCTTGGAATCAACCCACATATGGGACCCCCTTCTATAGGCTTAAAGAAAAAGTGAAGAGCACCAGGACAGCCCTTCTCATTTGGAGTTCAAAATTCAAATCTCTTAACCAACAGACCATTGAAGTGCTCACAAGGAGGTTAGAAACAATGAGGGAAGACAAACCTGAAGATTACTGGGAACTATGGAACAATACAAGAAATGACCTCAATGCAGCACACAAGCAGGAGGAACTTCATTGGCAACAGAGATCTAAACTTAAATGGCTCAAGGAAGGTGATGGCAACACAAAATTTTTTCATGCATATACTCTCCAGAAAAGGAAGCTGAATGCCATTTCCAGACTCATAACCCCAAGTGGTTCAGTTCTTTCCTCTCAAGAAGACATTGAACATCATATAGCAGACTTCTACTCCAATCTATTCACCACAGAAGGTAGCAGAGATGGGGAGTCAATTGTTAACCTCATTCCCAAGACAATCACTGATGATATGAATTCAGGCTTAATGAGAACAATTACAGTTGAAGAAGTGAAGGCAGCTTTATTCTCTTTGCCCCCTGAAAAATCACCAGGGGAGGATGGCATGAATGCCCTATTCTACCAGCATTTCTGGGATTTGGTTAAGCAAGATGTGTTTGAAGCTATTCTAAGTTTCTTTCAAACAGGTGCCATCTTGAGGTACTGGAACCACACTATTCTCTCTCTGATTCCAAAAGTTGCTCATCCAGAAACACTTTCCCAATTCAGGCCAATCAGCTTATGTTGTGTGATCTACAAAGTTTTATCCAAAATTCTAGCCCAGAGACTCATGCCTTGCCTGGGAGATTGTATTAGCCCTTACCAGTCAGCCTTTGTCAAGGGGAGACAGCTTATGGACAACATCATTATTGCTCAGGAGGCCTATCACTTTCTGAACAGACATTCTTCAGGCAAGAATTTTTTCATGTCTCTGAAACTAGACCTTATGAAGGCTTTTGACAAACTGGAGTGGCCCTGCATCCAAAGAATTATGCTTCAAATGGGCTTTCTTACTGAATTTGTGAAACTCATCATGGTATGTGTATCTACTTCCACAATTTCCTTTAAAGTTAATGGTAAGATCAGTGGCTACATTTCTCCCACCAGAGGTATCAGACAGGGGGACCCTCTGTCCCCCTACCTTTTCATTATTGCTGCAGAGCTGTTATCATCACTCATCTCCTCTGCTCATGATCAAGGCAATCTGCATGGTCTTAAACTTTCTAGCAATGGCCCTGCCATCACCCATCTCCTATTTGCTGATGATTCCTTGCGTTTCTGTAAAGCTGGAGTTGACCAAGCCACCCAGCTCATCTCTTTACTTAACAAATACAAACTCTTCACTGGGCAACAGGTCAACTTGCAAAAATCTGGAATTTATTTCAGCAGGAATACACCTCAAACTCTGAGAGACAACATTTGTGGTACTTTGCAAGGGATAGTTCCTCACAGATCCTCAAGATATTTGGGCTTGCCTCTGGGAATAGGAAGATCAAAGAAAGAAGTATTTGACTACATCCTCAACTCTATCAGGAACAAATTACAGGGATGGAAAAATTCTCTTCTCTCCCCTGCAGGCAAAGAGGTTCTGATCAAATCAATTATTGAGGCAATCCCTATTTTTTCTATGTCCTGTTTTAAACTGCCAGTCTCTATCTGTAAGGAAATTACTAAGTTGTGTTCAGCCTTCTGGTGGAAATCCAATGACAACAATGATTCTGGGATTCACTGGAGAAAGTGGGAGAGACTCTCTCTTCCAAAAATTGAAGGAGGCCTGGGGTTCCATGATATCAGCCTTTTCGATAATGCTCTCATCTGTAAACAGCTGTGGAGAATCACCTCCAACCCACACCTCCTGGTCAGCAAGATCCTTAAAGACAGGTACTTTCCCAACAACTCCATCTTCAAAGCTGAAAAAACTCAAAAAGGATCCTGGCTCTGGCACAGTTGGCTCTCTGTTATGCCCATCTTTGCCCAAGGTGTGAGAACTGAAATCAGAAATGGTCATTCCACCAAGATTGATGATTTGAATTGGGTGCCTGAACTGAACAAACCCCACCCTACAATGATTGAAATTGCAAGAGGCCACCTAATCTGGGTAAAGGATTTGCTGCAAGACAATGGCTTGGAATGGAACAAATGGCTAGTTGAGCAAGTCTTTGACTCTGTGGACAGTGCAGCAATACTCAAAATCAACTCCTTAAACCCTGCAAGAGCAGACAGACAATATTGGGGCCTTGATCCAAAAGGACAGTTCACTGTGGCCAGCACTTACAAATATCTGTCAGCTAAGAAGCTCTTAAAGATGGACATTCCAGGTTCCAGTTCAAGCCCTCTACCTCCAAAACAGATGTTTCAAAGATGTTGGAAAATGAAGATGCAAAACAAGATCAAACATGTCATCTGGAAATGTATCACTGAAACACTTCCTTCAGCCATCAACTTGAGGAAAAAAGGGATTGACATTAATGCCATCTGTACCATTTGTGGGGAGCATCCAGAAACATCAGAGCACATTTTCTTCACATGCCCAAGAGCTAGTAGGATTTGGGAATCTGCCCCAGTTAACTGGGATGGCTTGCAGCAATACACTTCCTCCTTCAAATGTTGGTGGCAGCAGCTTAGTTCCATTAAGCAAAATGAAGTTGTCAAAGCTAGGATTCAACTGTCCACCTACTTGCTCTGGTGGCTATGGAAGTCGAGAAACCTATGGGTATTCAAAAGGTCCCTCATGCCAGAGCATATAGTCATCTCTGCTGCTCACAAGGAATGGCTGGAAGCCTCCATGGCAGCTGGTCTTTATGCTGCTCCATCTCTTGATTAAGGATTTAAGTTTTCTTGTTCTTTGGTTAGGTAGTCTCCTTTTTTCTTTTGTTTTTGTCTTTTGTTGGAAGTGGTGTATTCTAGCTAGGCCTTATGGCAGTGGTGAGGTGCATTTCTTCTTTTGTTTAGTTGCTTCTTGCTTGTTTGTTGGTTGTTGAGGTTCTAGGTGCTTCTTGTAGCATCTCTCAGTTTTTCTTTTAGTGTGGGCTGTCTTATTGTACTTAAACCTTCTTTTTGTGGTTATAAATAGATCCCCTATCGTTCTGGCCAAAAAAAAAAATAATAATAATAATGATAATAATAATAATAATAAGGAAATTAATAATAACAATAATCAACAATTATTCCCAATTAATCCACGATAAAACGAGGTATTACAGCCATCTAGTCCGATTTACCGGCCATCATGTGTACGAGATTGGCCAAAAGGTGGTGGCCCAAAGCTGAAGTCTAAGGTAAGGAAACG